ATCATCATCATTATCATTATCATCATCTGTCTTTGTTGCACCACAAGGCACATGAGGCTTCACAACAGTATGTATGATACACTGAAAGTAGTTATTGGCATTACAATGGTCAAAACAGATCTCTTTCTTTGCAGGCAGAAGAAATGGGAATTGAATGTGGAGCAGAGAATGTATTCTTCTATGAATCTGAAAATGGAACAAAGTGCATAAAGGTAAATTTATTGATCGTGATTGTAGATGTACATTTTAATTTTCCATGGAGCAATTACCTTTGAAGGCTCAGTTGACTTTATGGTTTACAATGATGTTTACAACGATTTTCCCTGAAAGAAACACACCCCCTTAATTAGTAGCAGCATGGTCTGAGATCCACTTTCCTGCAGAGTTAACATGTTTGTAGTTTATTTCTGGCAGTGGTCTCTGCACTGTAGTACACACTACTAGCTTTGGGCAAAAATAAAGTAACTTTAATTAATGACAAGGTAGCCACATTAAATCTATCTACCGGTATTTAAAATTATTTTCCCAAACTGAGAGATACTATTAACACCCAAAATGTGTGTGTTCAAGTGCAATGAGACCAATCATTACATGTACATTTTTTTGTGAAATATCAAATTTTTAAACCACTCTTTTTCTTGAAATTCTGTCTTGTTTTCAGTTCCTATGTGCAGTTGAAGATTCAAAACAAGTCTACGATGATCTATCGCAAAAGTTTCCTGACAGAGATATTTCATTAGAACTGGAGTATGTTCCTCGTACACTTGTTTCTTTGTCCGAAGAACGAACACAGCAAGCAGAAAAGCTTGTAGATAGACTTGAAGATCATGCGGATGTAGTGAGGGTTTATGACAATATAGAAGGGCTCCCTAATGCAACTTGCAAGCTGTTTGGGTCAGCTATCACTTCCTGATCTACAGAATAAAAACAGATGAAATTTGTGGGCACTTTAAGCTGAGCTCTCTGGCGTCAAGTTCAGTGTGAAAAAATAATGAATAGTGTAATGTATGCTGGCAAATGGAAGTCTCACAGTCAATGGAATAAGCAGAAATCATTCAAGAATTTTTCTTGATTGGAAGATCAAAGTAATCTAAACTTTTAGATCAGTATGGAATAGACGGTGTGATATGTTTATTGGTTGGATAATCCAAATAAAGTAAACAAAATGCCAGCAATCAATAGGCCATTTCTAAGTTGCCCATTTTTCTTATGTGTAAAAACAAGTCATCATGCGAAACCATTCATATGGAAATGTGTTCCACCTGTAGGTTCATTTTCATACAAATCAAACTCATTTTCATATGAAAGATTTTGCTCAAAGGCTCGTTTTGAAACAGAGGCACAAGGTAACTTGGAAATGGCTTATTCTAAATCGAAATGCGAACAATTTGCTGCTGTGGCCTACACTGTATGCTCTCCAAAATACACAGAACCTGGCTTAGCCATTTCACATTGTTGTTTTACAGAGGGTGGCTGCAAAATGTACAAAGATTTATAATGCACATGCCTAGCTGTGTTCTGCTCATTAAACCTTTTGTTTGGTGATGTTTCCATTGCCATTGCTGTCACGGTTTGCTTAAAAGTTCCCTATGGTCACTCTAATGGTGAATGCCTTCAAGTCCCGGGTGTAAGGCATCTTTCTGATGTGGCTTAAACCGAAACTTAAATTTTACTCTTAAGCTGCATTACATGTGCATACAGAATGCCCACCACATACAGCAATGTCATGCTCTTTGCATATTTTTTAAACATATTCAGTCCTGCACTATTTGTTGAACTCGAAAGGGGAGTGAATACCACTTGCATGCCATTTTTTTATATACTTGGAGGTGCAGGTGGTACTTTCTACTGAATAATAACATCATAATTATCATCTGCGGCCTTAAGCATGGCTTACAGAGACAGCAACTGTCCCTATATGCCAAAATGTACCAAAATTACGCAATAAGTGAACACGTTGCAGACCCTTAGCTATATCCATCATGACAATGTTTTGTCCATGTAAAGAAATACTAGAATAGTACTTGAGACCTAAAATGCTTTTGGAGTTTGTTTGCTTTGACTGAGACATCAACTGTTCTTTTTGCTTGGTGCATGTTTTGCAATCTCACATCTTTAACCTTCTGTCGTGACGCACTTCCTATAGTTCCATGCCAACCAAGAGCTTTGTAATCTGCCATGATACTTTGGATCACCTTACTGTGATGACTTCTTTCAGGGGGGAGATTTTGCTTGTAGATATGGCGCATATTGCGATGGCCAATTTTGGCGCCCGATGGAAGGCATAGTTCTAATGTTTGCTCATTCACTGTTAGAGTGTTTTCCTTTCCTTGGATTTCATCACTACTGTTTTCTTCATCTGGATTATAATCCGGATAACTACTGCTGAAATCATAGAAGTCGGCAAATTCCAAAACAGCATCGCCTTCATAGTTGATTTTCATGTGGCCTTTGTCTACCATGTGATTCTGAACAGCTTCTGTTGAGAAAAAGTTCTTTCCTTTGTCATTACAGTAAAGGCACATGTTACCAACTCCAACTTTTTCGCACAGATATGTCACAAGCCCTTTCATATCAACCACAAACTCCAAGTCTGGAATGAAAAAGCTGTGCGACCTCGTCATGTGCTTCATGCTTTCTTCCAAGCTGATGCTGTGGTGTGGACAGAACAGACAATCTGTTATTTCCAGTGTGTCTTCCTCAATCTCATCATCATCATCGTCGTCGTCGTCAGACTGGGCATCATCAACCTTATCATCATCAACCTTATCATGTAATGATGACTCAGCAATTTCAGATTTAGTGTTTTGTGACCCAGTTTCTTCACTTTCCATGGTCAAGCCCTTGGTAATCAGGCTTCCTTCTTTTTTTACTTTAGCCGCCTCCAGTTCTTTGTGCTTTTTAGAACTTATATGATTATCATAAGCGTTCTCTGAGGAGAACGTCTTGTTACAGAGTTTACAGTGCATTGTTTTTGTTTTGCTCTGCTGTTGTGCTTCAACTTCGGCTCTTTGCTCAAGGACTTTTTGCTGAAAGACTTCAGCAGTTACAGGAGGCATTTCAGCAACCTTTCTCTTGAGGTTATAACGATGCCAATCCGTTTTGTAGTGACGACGTTGAATGTCGCTATCAGCGAAGGACACGCGACACGTTATACAAGTGAACAACGGCATTTTACAAAGATATTTGTGATCTGGAGGCGAAGCCGCTATTCTTTTAAGATTTTCTCAGAAAGGTTGATACTTCCTAGAAGCGAGCTATGCCTTCGACAGCTTTAGGTACGTTAAGAGACGGCAAAAGTGACCGTAACTTCTTACGAAATTCCCAAACGTGGTGCAATGATTGAGCAAAGCCCCAATGCTTGCTGGGTAATGTCACCCAAAATATGAGCCTGTCAGCGGTAATTTTAGTCATGGCGGCGATTTCGAAGAGGGAAGGTCAAACGGAAGCATATCAACTTGTGGAATTGCATTCATTCTCTTAGTTTAGATTACCCCCGATAGCTGTAAATGTCTTCAGGAGGCTTGACCGAAGAGCAAAGAAGGAGGATCGAAGAAAATCGCCGGAAAGCTCTCCAGAAACGAGCGGCTCTTTTGAGTCAACGACAACCAAAAAATGCGCCCCCAACAGGAACGACGAAGACTTCGTCAGCAATAGACAAATGCGATGCGAGTAAATTTGCTTCCAACTGTGTGGTTAAAACCACAGGAGAAGAACGTGCCTTGCTTTCTTCGAGCAGAGCTAGAATGAGCGTACCACAAAGGCAGCCATCTGTGCAATCTGGAGGAGATAGACCGAGCTCAAATGATCTGCAGTCGACTGGTCATGCGTCCAACTCGTACATGTACACAAATGGTCACACAAAACCTCCTTTGATTGGCGCAGCTGGTAATTCACAAAACACGTCAGTAGGATTTACGACTTCAACATCTAAAACTTTGAACGGACCAACTTCATCAACTTCATTGAGCTCTTTTCAAAATAAAATCTCTAAATTTTATCGCCCCCAGAACGTTCCCCCTTGTACTATGAGGAAATTCGAAACTAAACCTAATTCCAACTCGTCAATTACATCTTCATCAGTATCAGTATCAGCGAGCAACAGAACGGGTCCTTCAAAGGCCAGTGCTACACACACGTTAAATGTAAAGGGAACATCAGAGAAACCAGTGAAAGGGAACTGTGTATTGATTAGCAGACAGAGATTCACAGTTCTTGTGCCATATCAGGCACAGCTTATTGGGATTTTTAAGACAATACCGAGCAGGAGTTATGGTAAGTTTATCCTATCCTACGAATGCAGACAGATTTTTACTTGCTGTTTCATGCAACCAAAACATATCTGCTGTGTACTGTAGGTGACTTTGGTGGTGTTAAACATCAGGTGGATGCATTTGCATCTGTTTGCATTTGCAGGCTGATTCTAACATATTTAACAAGGTGATTGAAATCACAGGCATTGCTTGCATGCTAATTTGTTCAAATTATGTAGAAATCAACACCAGAAATTCTTCTATGATCTCATGTGCAGCAAGGACATTGAAATGTCTGGATCTCCACCCTGTAACCCAGACTCTAAAGCAAATTCCCAGGGGTAGGGATTGCAATAGATATCACCTTATAGAAAAAGATGGCGACTGCACATCTAAACTGAATGCAGCCCATTGGGTACAAGAAAAGCCATATTTTTGCAATGTTTGTTTCTTCAGAAAAATATCATGTATGCCAGGTTTGAAGGTTTTACTAGACAGTGTTGTTAAGGTTTAAGTGTGCGCTAAGAAGAAATATGGGCAAATGAACCACGGTCACCATCTTTTCCTGAGAAGGATTCAGATGGTTCATATATTATGTATGCTCCTTGGGCTTAACTCTGATGGGTGATCAGACCAGAGTAAAGTTATGATTTCTCAAGCACACATAAAAAAAAAACTTCATAGAAAAGTTATAAGAAAATTGGTTTATCACTGCTGTGAATGTGTTTATTTCTACACTGTTGTTTGTTTTGGTGTTTCAGTGTTTTACGTACAAGTGGCATATCTTTCACTATGTAAAGGTTGAACCACAGAAGTGATTACCACCCAAATGTTTGTTTTTCTGACAAATCAAATCCAACCCCAGGTTTTACCAAACATGTAGAGACACCACATCAGGGAGATCAGGGGAATTTCAACCCACATGAAACGGTCAAACAAGTTACACTAAACGATTAGATTATGAGCTCGAGGTTTTTATCATGTGATAGTTGATGAGGGTGAAGCCCGATTCAACTATCATGCATAGAAATCAAGCGCAAATAACCTAATTGTTTTAGTATAAGTCTGCCAGTCATTCAAAACTTCATCTAAATCCTCTTCACAGGCACTTCGAAAACGCCAAGAAGCAGCC